TAAAATACTTATTTTACTTTAATGCATGCATTAAAAGTAAAGTTATAGCGTTTTAAAGTGGTAGCTTTTAAAATGTGTAGTGAGCGGTACTTTTGTCCTCCCACTGCACATGTGCTGGTAATAAGCGTTGCCGTGCTGGTAATCGGTAACGTTAGTAAGCCGATTTAGCTGCCTAATCCGTGCACGGTGCACCAAACGTCAACCATTTGGTGGATGAGATAAATGACGTGCAGAATCGTGTGGCGTCCAGTTTCCTGACGAACAAGATGGGACGAGTGCAGCACGCACTCAATGCCCAGCGGTTTCGCTATGCCTTCGCATGCGGCGAAAATCGCCCGCTGGCTGCTCTGCAGCGATATCCATTTCAGACACAAGGACCTCGACCGCGTGCGGGTCACGGCGGACTGGATCGTGGCCAAGGCTGAGCAGCACCAGGTGCAGCGCGCCGTGATCTGCGGCGATCTGCTGACAAGCCGGACGATGCAGCCAACGCACGTATTGTCGGCCTGCTATCGCTTTATTGGCAATCTTAGCGACGCGGTGCCCCACGTCAATATCTTGCTCGGCAACCATGACCTGGCCTACCGTAGGGACTACCACACCACCGCCCTCGACGCGCACCGCATGCGGCGGCTATCTCCCTTCATCTCCCTACATAGCAATATCGAACGCCATGTCTGGGATGGCCGGCGCGTGTTGCTTCTGCCCTTCCGCGAGGAGCAGGACGAGCTTACTGCCGCCGTGGACGCGCTGGATCCGACGGAGGCGGGGGAGACTGTGGCTTTTGCCCATCTGGCCATCCACAAGGCCATTCTGCAGCGGCATATCGTGCGAAGCACTCCCGAAACTACGCCCTCATATCCCGCCAGGTACCGAGGACTAACTGGCCCAGGCCGCTTCGCTTCGCTGGCGCGGACATTTACTGGCCATTTCCACAGCCACCAGATTATTCGCCAACCACAGCAAGCTGCCAGCGCGGACCCTCTCCAGGGCAGCTTAATGTATCTCGGCTCGCCACTGCAGATGAGCTGGGCTGATTTGAATGACGAGCAGCGAGGTGTTGTTCTGCTAGATCCCAGCACCCTCGCATGCGAAATGCTAGTCAACCCATATGCCCCAGTGTACGCTACTATCGATGTGAAGGACGCCCTTGGTGGTACTGCCAGTATGGAGGTCGTGACAGGGAAGCACGTCATGCTCCTCGGCGAGATGTCCCGCTTCAAATACGCCACCGCCCGCGATAACTTGCTCACCCTTGGCGCGCGCAGTGTGCGAGACTGGAGTCCCATGGGCCCGGTCAATGGTGGCAATCGAGCGTCCGGCGGTTTGGGCGCATCCATACCAGAGAGCGATGCGGCCATTCAAGAACTGGAACAGCCAGCCGAGGACTTGGTCGCAAGAGATACAGAGAGCGGCGTGCCGGCCCCATCGCCAACAGAGATAGCAGAACCCACTCAACAACTTGATCTTGGTGCTGAAGTGGGGGAATACATCGATTCCATATCCTTGGATCCATCCCTCGAGCCAAGGCGAAAGCAGCTGACCCAAACCGGCCAACGTCTCATCCATGCCTCGAGCGCCGTCACAGACGAGGACGTCGAACTGGAATTGGACCTTCGCGACTTCCTGGGGCCAGGGGACAAGTCCAAACCTGTGAGACTGCCGGAATCGGAGGCGCTGGCAAGACCTTCTGCCAATGTTTTTGTTGCAGAGCCCCAGTCTCTCGTCATCAAAAACTTCCTGGGTGTGCAAGGGGTCCTCACCGTCGACTTCAAGCGAGATTTGCCGCGAGGGCTGATCTTTCTGGTGGGCGCAAATGGTTCTGGCAAAAGCACTATCGTCGAGGCCATGGTTTGGTGCCAGTTTGGGAAGTGCATCCGAAGTAGCTTGGGAGCCAACGATGTCGTCAACGACACGGCGGGCAAGGACTGCTCCGTCAGTTTGTCATTCTCCAACGGCTACACGATCACACGGTACCGCAAGGACAAGTCGTTCAAAAACGATGTGGTGGTGTCTCTGTATGGCGAGCCAATGTGGCAGATGCAGCACCCCGATGCGCGCACGACCCAAGCGGCCATCGATGAGCTGCTCGGGATCGACTGCGACACATATGTCAGGTCTGTCGTTTTAGGCCACGAGAGTGCAACAAGCTTCCTGAACGCGACTCCCACACAACGACGAGACATTATCGAGCAATCCCTGGGCCTATCCACACTGGAGCGCTGTGCACAAATGTCAAGGCTTATCCTGAAGGAGCTCGACCGGCAGATGGGCGACATTCAGATAAAGCTTGTGGGTGTCGCCAATGTCAAGGACTCCAACAAACGCGAGCTGGGAAATTTGGAGCAGTCACAAAAGGCACTTACTCTAGAGGTGGAGAGCGTCGCCCAGGCATTGAGTGCTGCGGCACAGCGGCATGCCGTGATTTTCGCAAAGGTCATGCAGCAAAAAGCCGACACAGCTGCATTCACCAAGCTGATGGAGTCCAGCCGGAGTGGGCTGAAGCATCTGGAGCTGTCACGGGAGGAGCTCGCATCGGAGGCAGGGAAAGTGACCAAGGCATTGAATGCGGCGATTCAGCGACACGCCCTGGCCCTTAAGCGCGCAGAAGAGGACGGCGGAGCAGAGATTCGAGCCTTGGCTCCATACATCGCAGAAGTTGACGGGCGGATTGCCGCCGCCTCCCAGAACTCGCAGCACTTGTTCAAAGAGTCCAATTTGGCCGAGCTTTGCATTGCCTTCCATGCTGAAATGTCGACGTCGCTGTCCCGCCTTTCTTCGGCCAAGGAGGGCCTGGAACAGCTCCAGGACCTGTACCGTCATCTGTCGAGCCAGAAAGCAGCTAGGCCGAAACCTTGGTGGGAACGAGAGGAGCAGCGCTGTCTGCACAAGCTCGACGTCTTATTGTCGACGCGCCCAGTTGGCTTGCCGAAGATCATGTCTTCCGCGACCAGCTTATTCCTCCACCTCCAACTGCATGCTCTTCGAGCGTGGGCCGCTTTTGCCACCTTCCTTCAAAAGGATGATGGACGCCAGGAGCTCGAAGCTGCCGTGACCGCTGTCGGCTCAAACGTAAAGCATGCTGCCAACAATGTTTTGGAGCTCCAGTTTAACGCCGACACGGCTCCCGTCGCCGACAGAGTGGCGACTTCCCGTCGCATCGACAGGGAAGAGGTGGAGCGGGCAGCCACAATGCCGTTGGAAACCGCCAGGACAGCAAACGAACGTCTTGACCGGGCCATCCAGACGAAAGAGAAGCTGCGGCGGGAGCGGGAAGTGCTACTCGCTCGCGTGAGGGAACAGGAGCAGAGGCTACAGCGCGAGCGCGAGGCGCTGATTGCTCAGGCCAGAGAAGAGGAACAGCGACTGCAACGTCAGCATGAGGCACTGCTTGCCCGGGTTATGGAGCAGGGAGAGAAGCTTCGGCGCCAGCGAGAGGCATTGCTCGATCAGGAGAAGGAACACGAACAAAAGATTCAGCGTCAGCAACAGGCATTGGATGCTCAGGTTAGGGAAATGGAGCAACTGCAGGCAAAAGTGGAAGGCAAGAAGAGGGAGGCGGCAATCTATCAGGGCCTCGCTGAGGAAAAGAAGGCGACTATTAGCTCGCTTCAAACGCAAGACAAAGAGCTTGGGGCGGAGCTCGCGCAGCTGGTATCTACGCACGAGCTCTTCGCCTTTTGGACTTCAGCCTTCGCCAAGCGGACGCGTCGAATCTCAACAGCCGCCGGGTCGAGCAAAGCGATCACGACCTTTCGCGAGCACGTGCTCAACCAGTCACTCGCCGAGCTCAACGCGCTTCTGCCCCAGATCCTGGCCGTCCTCTACAACGAAACACGCCACATGAACGCCCTAGCCACGGGCATTCTCGGCGTCCTGTTTGAGAAAGACGGCAGCGGCGAGCCCCTGGATGCAGCAAACACGGCAACGCCGATGCTCGACAACACCCTTGCCGTGAACCCTGCCCTCGCGTATGGCAAGCGGTCCAGCGGCGAGCGAAAGCGCATGGACCTTGCCGTTTTCTTTGCGCTGCTCCAGGTGCGCCACGCCCGCAGCTTCCATCGCGCCCACTACCTGCTGGTTGACGAGGTGTTCGACAGCCTCGACGAGGCGGGCCAGGCTGCCGTCGTACGCTGGTGCGCCTATGCCGCCCGCCGAGTCGCCGGGCGGATCATCGTTATCACACATTCCCGTGTCCTGATTGACCAGGCCGACCACTATCTCAAGGAGGGGGAGTTGGGCTCGGTTGTAACAATTCGCGCGGATATGAAGGAAAGCGGAACGGCGCTGACTTTTGGCACCGAGTAATTGAATATTGCTTAGTAATAATTACAACCTCTCCCCCATTTACTTGTCCACCCACTGGGGCATTGTCGCTGTGCCGCCACGCTCACCACTAAAAAGATGGCGGTCCTATAGCTTGCTATTAGGTTTTTATTATTTATTATTTATTATTTATTATTTATTATTTATTATTTATTATTTATTATTTATTATTTATTATTTATTATTTATTATTTATTATTTATTATTTCTTATTTATTATTTATTATTTATTATTTATTATTTATTAAATATTATTTATTATTTATTATTTATTATTTATTATTTAT